TCATCCACAAATAAAAATATTACTTGTTCAGTAGCACAGAGCAGAGTGTCTAAGAAAATCAAAGTGCTTTGATCAAGCGAGTCCTTCTGGAGCCTACTGTATGTTCTGCATTCTGCTTGGTGCTGTGGAGGAGAAAAAAGATGAAAGGCACATTGACTGTCCACAAATCGGCTCCAGACATCTTGGGGATTCATGACCCACACGTATAACTAATGAGAACAGGTGGGATAGGATTGTTGGGGTCAGTGTGTGGCATAGTCCTTGAATGCTAGCAGAAGCAGGAGTGGAGACCACTCTGGGTTTGGGGGTCTCTAGATATGCTCTCACATCCTAGGTACTGGGGATAGTGTGTGGCAGGTGCAGACAGGCAGAGGTGAGAAAGGGAGGGTGTAGAAAGGAGGAAGGTAGGGGAGCAGCAAGAACCAAAACTTTGAAGTATGACTGAACAGAACTGCAGGTCCAGTGTGGCAGCCACTGGCCCTATGTGGTTACTGAGCATTTACAGTGTCGCTAGTTCACAAAGAGATATACTGTAAGGATACAGTACAAACCAGATTTTGAAGTCTTTATTTGAAAAAAATGTGAAACATCTCATTAATAATTTTTAAAATATTGATCTCATGTTGAAAGGATATTTTGAATATATTCAATTCTATTATTAAAATTAATTTTCCTGTGTCTTTTTCCTTTTTTAAAAACATGGCTAGCTCTGGCCAGTTTGGCTCAGTGGTTAAAGCGTCCACCCATGGACCAGAGAGTCCCGGGTTTGGTTCCCGCTAAGGGCACTTACCTCAGTTGCAGTTTGTCCCCGGCCCCGGTTGGGGTTTTGTGGGTGGCAACCACTCGATGTGTCTCCCTCGCATTGATGTTTCCCTCTCTCCCTCCCTCCCGCTCTGTCTGAAAATAAATGCAAAAATGTCCTCAGGTGAGGATAAAAAAAGAAAAAAATTAAAAACATGGCTACTAGAAAATTTATTGTAGCTTGCATTAAATTTCTCCTGGACAGCCCTAGGAGAGAGAGAGCTGTCAGGACAGAGAACCTCTGAAGAAATGCCCCTGTGTGGCCCAACAGGTCCCCTTCTTCTCAAGAAGAACCCTGTTTTATGTAAAGACAAACAGACAAAAGCTTCTATAGGAAAGCAATTGTTCATTCAATATGACAAGCAAACAGAAGTTCAGTAACATTTCTAAGTGAAGCCGTATCACATGGCTTCCATACGAAGTCCAGCGGTTTCATACATATACAAAGTATGACAGCTGAGCCCGAGTGGCTCAGTTGGTTGGAGCGCTGTCCTCTGTGCCAAAAGGTCGCCGGCTCCGTTCCTGGTCAGGGCACATACCCGGGTGGAGGGTTGGATCCCCAGTGGAGGTGTGCATGAAAAGCAACCGATGTCTCTCTCTCTCTCTCTCTCTCTCTCTCTCTCTCTCTCTCTCTCTCTCTCTCCGTCTCCCTCCCTTCCTCTCTCACTAAGCATGTCCTCAAGTGATGATTGAAAGAGAAAGAGATAAACACAGAGATGGGGAAGGCGACCTTAGTGTATAGGATTCTATGGCCCTGGCACTAACTCTGGGTCCCCTCAGGGTCTGCGATGATAACTTTGGAGCTACAGCTGGGTGGCAATGATGGTGCAGCTCGAGAAAGCTGGCCGTGCCGGGTGGAGTCCTGGATGTGAGGCGTAGGAGTTGGGACTTGATTTCCCAGGCAGTACGGAATCTTAACTGCTTCCCACCCTTTCCTTTGCTGGTCTGAAGCGTGAGGCTCTCTGAGGAGCCCTCGTCTTGAAGCTGAATATTGGTGTGAGCGCCTCCAAAGGAGCAAACTGAAGGGGATTTGAAAGACAGGGTCAAACCTTCCTGGGGCGCCTCACACCTCTTTTAGAATCACTGTGCACACAGCGTGTGGTCACGCCTGCCCGTTGAGGACCTTTGGTAGGCGTGGGTGACAGCTGCGGAACTGTTATTATCTGGTAGCCAGAAACCCTGCTGCCCTCTTGTCTTCCAAGTCTCTAAGTATCTTGAAATCCTTTCCCCGACTTGTGTTAAATGCTGCCTGACTCCCATTTTTAATGCCCAGCTCCTTCCTGGAAGATTCGAAGCATCCAGCTTACCTGTCAGATAAAAGATAACCGTGACCCCCTGTCCAAAACCTTCTGCTCTCGAGGCTGTTATCCGGGAGGCAGGTCTGCGGGGGGCAGTCCGCAGAGTAACAAAAGACAGGCCACGTCAGGGTGTCATCCGAGGTTGGTGGTAATTAGAGTCAATAAGGCCGAAGCGAGAGGAGTGAAAAGGAGACGTTATAAACTTGGGTGACCTTATTACTGCTTGGGACACAGAGATTTATTTTCTGGATTCCTCAAGCCTTTCTCGGGCGATTTTGTCCTGTAAGTCTCGCTGACAGATTTATCCCAGGCTCCTGTCATCGGTGGCTGTTGACCCACTAAGCAGGCAGAAGGCAAAAGCCAGGAGAAGTAGCTGCCTGCTGAGAGGCGGCTTGCGGACCAGCGCCGTGGAGCGGACAGAACCCCCACGTGTCCTGCGAGCCTGGGCTGCTGCTCTGAGTTGCCCTGCATTTCCCCTCGCGATGCTATCTGCCATTGGCTCCAGCGCTGCTGTCTGCAGGGGTGATGAGAGATTTAGGCCTTGCCCGCATGGCTTGTGTAGATTATCACAATTCCTCTCACAGAATGGGTGGTGAGGTTTTGGTGACACCCACTAAAACAGGCCAGCAAAAACCCCATGATACCAGGCTTCCAGACAGCCCTTGCAGGTACACTTCAAAACTGGTATGCCCTGGCTGGTTTGGCTCAGCGGTTAGAGCATCGGCCTGCGGACCAGAGAGTCCCGGGTTCAGTTCCCACTAAGGGCATGTACCTCGGTTGCAGTTTGTCCCCAGTCCTGGTTGGGGTCATGTGGGTGGCAACCACTCGATGTGTCTCTCTCACATCCATGTTTCTCTCTCTCTTCCTCCCTTTCTATCTGAAGGTAAATGCAAAGATGTCCTCAGATGAGGATAAAAGAAAACAACAAAAAAAACAAAACTAAAAACTGGTAGTCATGCCCACTGCAGGCCCCACCATCACCACTGCCTACGGCAGAGGCAAAGATTCCTATTTGACTTTGCTTCCACCCGAGTGGCAGAGGTTCCGAAAGAAGGGAGTGAAGGCATAAAGGAAACAAGGGAAGAAATGTTAGAAAAATTATAGCACTTTAGTCCTAGAGAGACTTTGAACAATATCAGGTGCAAGGTTTTATCAGCCTTTCTTTTGCCATAGGAATCCAATGTTCAAACAAAATTGTTATAATTAACATTTGTGTAGCTCGTGCAGTAAACCGGGAACTGAGCTAAAGGTTTTACACACGTGACCTCATTTTGTCCTCACAAAAGCCCTCCAGGCAGATAGCATTATTGTCTTCATTTTCCAAGCAAGGGAACCAAGGCACAGACATTCAAGAACACTGGTGAAGTCACACAGCTGGGAAGGGGAGGAGGCTAGGATGGAAATCCCAGACTCCGGTGTCAGAGCTGGTGAGACCCAGTTGGACACGGCAGTGATGTCCTTCAGACACACACTCTTCACCTCTCTGCCCCTTAATAAAAGCATGCATGGCTAAAAGAAAGCTTTTCTAGAAGAAAAGGCTTGTTGAGCCCATGCTGGGTCCTGGGGTGTCATGCCCGCCATGCAGGAGTTGATGGGCCCCTTTAAATACTAAGTTTGGGGAAAAGGATGCAAGTTGGTTTGAAAAAAATTGGCATGGGCTACTCACGAGGGGGGTGGGAAAAGGTGGAGGGGGGCAGTTCCGTAGGAGGGACTATTCACTACGTTTGACGGTTGTGGGCAACTGTCCTGGCAGTTCGCGGATGCGCGGGATGTGGCGGCGTCTGGCGGTCAGGATTTGTCTGCTGGTAGAGCACCCGAAGCTCCCAGACATTCAGGAGAGTGAGCCCTCTGCCAGCTGGCTCAGCTCTTCACTGGCTAGTTACTCTCGTCTCTTTCTCTTACTCTCCCACTTGTAATTTAATTTAGAACATCTCAGAATTTTTCTCTTGTCACTCTACTGAGGGGAATAACATGAACAGAAATCAGGGAGCTGCTCTGGTTGAAGTTGGGGTGGGGTGCAGCCCAGACACCACCTATTCCCCTCTGCCCACCCCACCCCAGAGCACTTGAGGGGAGTCAGCCACTCCGGTCTAGAGGAGTTCCCTCATGTCTTTGGTTGATGAGCTGAGAAGCTGTGTTTGGAAGGTGCTGGGCCTGGCCCAGGGTCACATCGCTCAGGAGTGTCAGTGTGGCCATTCTGATTCCCGGGCTACTGCCAACCCAAAATCCCAAACAGCATCACCGACTGCACCAGAAATCCTGTTGTGAATGTTTCTCGGAGCTAAGAAGTGATTGAATAGGCCAAGTCAAGGTATAACTAGAATGTTCTACAGAAACACAACATTTGGGCTCAACTAGGAAACGGCACCAAGCCTTCCAAGATCCTTCCCACCACGCATGCCCAAAGGGTGCATGCCTGAGCACACCCTCCCGTCCGGGGGGGAGACAAAGGAGGTGGAGGCAACACCTGGAAAATCACCTGTGGAGATGGGTACTCACCTTTGCATCCTTGTCCTTTTCCCAAGTATGGCTGCTGTCTTCTCTAAGCTGAATCTGAGGCTGGCCAAGTCAAGTCTAGATGGTTTGATATCTTTGAAAAGAAGAATTATTTTTTTCAAAATTTCTTTCTTGCAACCAGGGCTGGTTTCACGGGTAGCCGGCTGGGCTCCTCATTTCGTTCTATGTGCTGCTGCCGTCTTGAAATTCTTAACACTTTTTTAACGTGAGGCTTGGCGTTTATTCCCCCCCCCCCCCCCCCCCCCCCAGTTTCAAAAGGCTTTATTGCTAAATATGCTTTAGAAAAGAAAGGTCGATCCTATTGCTTCCAAGTTAGTGGAATGAAGAGCTGTGCCCAGGGACACATCCAGGTGGTGCCAAAGGGGACTGATGCTTTTTCCACCTCTATTCATCGATCCAGTCAAAAGCACAAGACTTATGGTCAACCAGTTCTTCAGGCTTAAACCATAGGCTGATTTCTTTCTCAGCACTTTGTACTGAATCACTGCCGTGAATGACGTTCCTGCCAACTTGAATGCAAGAGTCTCCAGGAATGGTGCCTGGCTTAGGTTCCGCGGGGTTGGTCTCCCCAAGCATCAGTCTCCCTGTCTGCACCACGTTCAGCCCCTCCCAGACCATGGCTACCACAGGCCCTGAGTTCATGTACTTCACCAGCCCAGGGTAGAATGGATGGTCTTTCAGGTCAATGTAGTGCTGCTTCAGGAGTTCCTCAGACTTCACGAGGCGGAACCCCTTCTGCTCCAAGCGCTTGATGTTGTCGCCCACCAGGCCGCGCTGCACGCCGTCCAGCTTGATGGCGATGAAGGTGCGCTCCGCGTTGGCCATGATCCGAGAAGCAGGAGGACGGGAGGCGGCTGCGCTGCGGAGCCTGTAACACCGGAGCCAGGGGTCAGGCCTGGCGTTTTCATTTGCACAAGGCCCTGCAAATGGTGTATTCAGTCCAGCCTGCAACCCAGTCCGGGACATGTGCGTTTGTGGTGAGGGTGGTGGGGAAATTATGTTTGTTAGGGACTTGTCACCTATTCTGGTTGGCGGCCTTGTAAAAAAATTGTGGTAACATAGGTTAATCACATTATATACATTGCAGGTGCTATGACATTATAATTCAGTTATCTGTGTACTCTATTGCATGCTCACTACTGAAAGTCTAGTTTCTGTTACCATAAGTTTGGCCCCTTTTACCCAATTTGCCCTCCCCACCCCTTTTCACCCCTGATAACTGACCACCATCTATTGTGTGTATCTGAGTTTTTTTGTTATTTTTTTTATTTTCTACATGAGTGAAGTCATATGCTTTTTGTCCTTTTCCATCTGACTAATTTCACTTAGCATGATAACCTGAAGGTCCATCCATGTTGCCCCAAATGGGAATATTTTATAAACATCTGTTCTGGAATAAAAATATATGTTTAATCTAGAGTTAAACAAAAAGTCTGTCCTATTTGAGAAGCACGTGGTTATACTGAATTTGGTATCTCACTTTTATGAGTCAAAGGACTAGTCCTTCTCAGTGCCTAGTGCTATTTTGGGCTCGTGGATGGGGAGACTCACATGCGTGACCTTTTCTAACCAGCGCTTGCCAGCTTGCCTGGCTGGCTGTCAGGTCACCACAGGCCAGGGCCCAGACGCTTCATCTGTGGTCGTCCCCGTGGGCACGGGGTGGGAGCCCGTAACAGCAGTTACAGTATTGTTTATCATCCTCCTCGCTGGTAATATTTGAAATAAATAATCAAATTACTTCTAGAAATTTCAGGTCATTATAGTCAAACAACGCAGTGTTATTTTTCAAGGTAAATTTTGAAAAATGCCAACATCCCAACAAATTAGTTTATTCATATAATCTTTACTAAAGTCATAATAAAACATATTGAGTATTTGAAAGAAGACATTGGAAAGCAAATGTTTCATAATATAATTATAATTATTAGCAAGATTATCAACATCAAGTTTAAGACACTGAAATGAAGAAAAATGACAATGAAGGAACATAAGTAGCTAAGTTAAAAAAAAAAAAGGATAATGTAATTCTTAATCTCATTTGTCAAGGAATGTCAAAAACCAGAAGTCTTCTCTGTTCTGTAATTTAAAGTGAGGCAGGGGCCAATTAGGGCCTGTGATCTGGCTCTGTAGCTATTGTTTATAAATACGTGTGTATGAAGCAACCTGCAGGGCTGGGTAGTTTGATCTGTCATCTGCTCTTACCCTCTGCAGAGAAGCAGATCAGAATACTGACCCTTGTTCTAAAAGACTGGGCAATGTTTCTGGGGTCCTTATGGTTTTTCAGCACAGACATTAAAAACTCAAGTATTTACAGGGGCTGCGCAGGCTCTTGCAATGGGTATGTGCCTGGGTGGGGCCTGAGATGACGTGGAAAGCCATGTTGGGTCCCAAGTAGGCAGCTCTACTCAGGAACTGATGGTGGTTGACTGCGGGAGATATGATGTCAGTGTTCTGATTTTTCAAAAGAAGTAAGTGGGTCATCTTTACTGAAAGATATAGAATATTGGCTAGTGAATGAAAAATTTTGCTGTCCAAAAAAGCAAACAAGCATCTATGGCTGGATGTTGCCATGGATCGCCCGTCTTCAGCCAGTACCCCGTGTTCTCGCGTTGACCAGGCATGAATAAGAGTAGAGGGGTGGGAAGACGTCTTCGGGACGTGATATTCAGACTCAATTTATTTTTCATAGATGAGAATAAACAAATTCTGTTTTCACTGGGGTAACTCTTCTTCTCATTCTAATTCAGTTGACACTGGTCTCACCTGGCTCCTTCTTCAAGACTCCATTAGCCGAACTACAGAATCGGAGTGAAACCTCCTGATCTTTCCTTCGGGAGTAGGTAAAGACCTTTCAGACCAAGAAGTGTGCAATGGCTGGGACACGCGGAGAAGAGGGAAAAACAGAGCTTTGGGGCTATTCTTTGACTTAGTTGCAATGCTAGAGATGTACACTATTCTGACATTTTATGCACTGGGCATATTTTAATGGGAAAATGACCTAGGAGACTGCACCATTTCTTGCTTTAAACACTGAAATTTTCTGAATTCAAATGATTGACTTCTTAGGATTTATGGACCATTTTTCCTTATTGCAGAGCTGGTTAGACTAAACCAAACACTTGTCATCAAGTTAGTAAATAAAGCATCTTTTAAATTCATTATAATTTATCTCTATATAGAACTGTAATCACTCCTGTGTAATTTTAGATATTAAATTTTTAGGTGTCAAAATAACTGTCTCCCACTAGCAAATTTCATAGATCACCCATCTTTGTTTCTGAAAGGAAACATGAATTGGTTTATTTTGATAGAAATGGGTGTGCTTGTGTTTGTGTGTGTGTGTATGTGTGTGTGTGATGTGGGTGTGCATGTGTGTGTGGTGGGTGGTGTGTCTCTTCCCAAAGTGCTGCTTTAAAAAAATTTTATTTCCTTTATTGATTTTATGAAGAGAGGAAATGAGAGGGAGAGAGAGATAGAAACATTGATGAGAGAGAGCATCAACTGTCTGCCTCCTGCATGCCCCCCACTGGGGATCGGGCCCACAACTTGGGCATGTGTCCTGACTGGGAATTGATCCGACAACCTCTAGGTGCACGGGTCAATGCTCAACCACTGAACCACACTGGCTAGACCCAAAGCACTGCTTTTGCTGGCTCAAGGCCATGGCCAAGGTCCATCAGACCCACCTTCAGGTATATTGACTTCTTGCGGTTATCCCTGAATGTCTCTCTTCTCCTCACTGGTTTTGGTTTTACCATAGCTCCTCTTTTCTCCCACCAGCTTCTACTTGTCTCCTAGAACTCTCTTCAAAGCCAAGTGTGAATCTGCTAACAATTTGCCTCCTTGTCTCTAAATTAAACTTCTATACTCATCCTTTACAGGACTTCTTCCCATCATACTTCTCTTTTTTCCTTTCCCTGGAGGTTTCCTACTTAACCTTCTACCTCAAATCTTTCTTCATTTCTTTTTTTAAATATGTTTTTTTAATCAGTTTTTTAGAGAGAGAGGAAGAAAGAGAGAGATAGAAACATTGATGTGAGAAATATCAATTGGCTGCCTGTTGCACGCCCCCCACTGGGGTTGGAGCCCACAACCCCAGCATGTGCCCTGACCCGGAATAGAACCGCGACCTCTCAGCCCATGGGATGACCCTCAATCCACTGAGCCACACCGGCTGGGCCTTTCTTCATTTCTTACAGTTTAGTTTATTCTTCCTTCTCTGAACCCTGTCTGATCACACGACTCTTGAATTCATAGATCTTTGTCTTGTTCCCAACTCATTTTTCTTCCCCATTTAGACCAATACACTTCTTTCCTTTACTCCACTGTCTACCCTGAGAAGTGAACTTACAATTTCTCCTTCATCTTTCTCCTCCCACTTTTTGCCTCTCTCCTCTTTTCTCCTCTTTGTCCTCCTAGCCTTCTTACTATCTCAGCTATTTTCAAAAAGCATTTAATGCAGCTTACAGAGATGTTTACAAAATGGTGAAATTAAAGAGATGAAAATGAGTCACGAGGTGAATCAGAATAGAAAAGGTGACGTGAATGAGAAGCGAGGTTAGTCAGCCACCTCAGCTACCAGTGGGATTCCCCAGGGACTCCTTGCTTTTTCCTCCTGCTCATCTTGCTAAGCTTTCTTCACAGGAAGCAGGTCAGAAAAGCCTTCCCAGGGCTCCAGGGTCAAAAGGCACTGTGATCCCTGCGTCGACAATTTGTTGGTACCATAACTAAAGGCCTGGGTGAGAACAACTGGCCTTTGAGAGTGTCCAAATGCCAGCCATTTTATTACGGACACACAGCCCTGACTGACAACTGCTTTTCAAAGGGAAAAATACCAGCCATGATGCAGGGGTTGGGTGTCACCCCTCATCTGCATTTAGACCTCATCGCAGGGGAACCTGAGAGTAGATCATGCTTCATCCCCAAAGATATGTCAGCGCTGCAGGACAGCACCTGTTCTTCCCTTTCTAGTTTGCAAAATCCCCGGGAGAGGTTTCCTGAGACCCTCCAGGCTCCGGGCTAGATGCCACGTCTGCCTCTGGAGCCTTCTGAGGCTTGGGAACACTGCAGTGTCTTGATAGATGGCTGGATTACAGATCTTGATTTTCTTCAGCATTTCTCCTTCCTCCTCCTGGAAACGTATGCCTGTTTCTGGCATCTGTCCCGACCTGTAAACACTCAGGCAGAGAATTCATTTAATTATTACTATTTTTTTGCCTCTTCCGGCAGTAAATTTCAATTGCCATTGCTCTGACCTCTTGTTCCTTATGTACTTAAAAATGTCTTCTTTGTTTCAACCTCTTGCATAATGTATATGGGCTCATTCTGCACCTTTGCTTGTCTTATTTTTTAGCCTATCTGTAATAGTTGAGGGCCTCCTCTACCTGATATTTTAGTCCTTGCCTAAATGCTCCTTCTTTGCCTTTGAATGATCTTCCCAATTCCAACCTCCTCTCCCCTCAGGATCCCACACCCCTTTGGTTTACTCTATTCCAGTGCATTTGCTATTGGCTGGTGATCGCTTACCTTACTGTTCCATCTTTTCTTCTCCCTTCCAGCTTATTGGTTTTCCCCGCTGTCTCTCTCGCCACATTTCCCCCCACCTAAGACTGTGCTGCCTTGGGATGATTTGCTGCTGCTTCCAGCACAGGCCCCGTTGGGACGTGGAAACGCAGCCCCCCCCCCCCCATCTCTTCTGTCCTTCCCTTTGCCATACACAGCCAAGTGAATCCAAGTGCCCATCCGCTGTCTCAGAAACCGCTCTCCAGCCATGTGGGGTAGCTCACGGCTACAAACAAAAATTCCCCAAAGTTTTGCTCCTCACAGGTTTCCAC